TGTGGAGATAGGTGAAAAAGTACTTTTTAATGTTTATATACCATCTGTTGAATCCCACTGGCTTCTTCGTGTGTATACTTTTCTATGTTCTTACTCCCCTTAGTGAAAACATAGCTCCGTCATGAGCAGATAAAACTTCTGCAGTATAATTTAGGTAATATGCAGTAGAAACTGTTGAATATGTTCATGCATGCAAACAACTTCAATTGGGGGGGGGGGGGGGCAGGCTCATTGTTAGTAAAATTGAATATAGCAAGGAGGACACTTTGCAGTCAACAAGATGTAATACAACACAATTCAAAGAAGATGATACAAACATCTGCTTGAGTATAACATGTATTTACCTTTAAACTGGAGACGAATAGGCCGTGACGAATAACAGCACCATTTTCCAGATTGATATTTATAATCCAATCTGCTTCATCCATAAAGACCACTTAACAGCCTCAAGAAACTTATCATTTTTCCGTAATGCATTGATTAGGTTAGTGTAGGTTATTCGATCAGGTTCAATTCCATTTTCGCGCATTTCCTTGACCAAATCTACAGCACGTTCAACCATTCCAGCAATTCCATAAGCCTTTATCAATGTGTTATAGCTGCACAAATCAGGTCCAATTGATCCTGATTCTTTTAATTCTGCCAGTACTTCTGAAACTTCTTCTATCCATCCTAGCTCACCATAAATGTTAATCATAATGTTGTAAGTGTAATGATCAGAAGAGTGACCAGATTCCTTCAGTCTTTCCAAGACATTACGGAATTTCTCCATTTGTCCTTCCTTCCCATAGGCATCTAACATACAATTGTAGGCTTCAAGAGAAACCGAAAACCCATTGAAGTGCATTTTCTTGACAGTTGATGACATATTCTTGAAGTCTTTGCTTCTCCCATATGCAGCTATGAGAGTGTTGTAAGAGATAACATCAGCCAAACCACACTTTTTAGCCATCGAAAAAACCTCTCTTGCTCTTTTGAAGAGTCTGGATTTCCCATATACGTCAAGCATGACATTGAAGGTAACTGTATTAGGTAAGAATCCACGTTTAAGCATCTCATCAAAAAGCCTCGAAAGCTCATCAACTGGCAGTGCACGAGCACAGCAGTTTATGACACAGCTGTACATTTCCTGATCCCAGATGACTCCTCTTTTCACAAGTTTGTAATAAAGATCTGCCAACTTGTCCTTCTTGTCACATCGCTGGTAGATCCGGAACATATCACGGAGCAAATATGTGTCCGGAACAATGTTTTTTTGTCTGTCCATATCATCCAATACAGAGCAGGCTTCTTCTAAGGCTCCAGATTTCATATACATCCTTACCACAACACTGAAAGTTATTGTGTCCAACTTGACATCTGAATTCTTCAACATTAGATAAAGCTTTTCCGCTTCAGCAAAATCGTTGTTTGTACTGTAAATGTCTATCATAGTGCATATTATATGTAAGTTAGGCTTATCAGATTTTGGCATACAAGTGAAGACTTTCACAGCATTCTCTGGATGCCCGAAATCTTTGCACGAGCAAATTAACAAATGGTACAAGTTGTCCTCAAATAAAGCATCCTTCCACTGCTTTTCCTGTAAGACTTTTAACGCATCATCTATCATGCTGTTTTTCACATAAACCATCACCAGACTTGAACAAGATATCTGGTTTCTCAAAACATGATCATATAAAGAACCTCTCAAGATTGAAGGAACTTCATGAATGAGTTCAAGCTTCTCATATGCTTGCAAAAGAATGCCAAGGATGGTTGACTTTTCGCCGCCAGTGTGCATCATTTCCTCAATAGTTCTAACAACATCCTCTTCGTCTCCATGCTTGACTTGTAAATTTAGCATTGTGTACAAATTAGACGAGTTTGGCTTGTGTCCAAGTCTTTTCAGTTCCGCATAGTATCTATTTGCTTCCTCATAATTGTCTGCCCGACCCCACCCTTCTATCATAGACCTGTAAGTTGTTTCATCAGGCTCCATTCCAACCCTTTTAATGTCACCAAACAAGCGTTGTGCATCCCGCATGTTGGAAATCTTCCCATATCCAGTGATCAATGTGTTGTATGCAACTATATTTGGCGAAAAACCAGCTTGGTTCATGGAAGCTAAGACCTGCTCAGCCTCGAGTAACTTGCCTTGTTGACAGTAAGCATTAAGCAGAACCAACCAATTCTCTAGATTCAGAATTACTTCATCTTTCCTCAAAAAGCCAATGATTTCTTCTGCTTTATCATACAATCTCATTCGCGTGTATATCGTCAACATAGAGGAATATGCAGACTGGCACATAATTTTGAGATTCCTCATCATTGAAAATGCAAATTCTGCTTCCTCAACATGCCATCCTTTCTGATAGAGAGCCATTAGCAAACCAAAAGTCGCTATATTTGGCTGAACTCCATTTTCCAACATCATGTGGAACCACTTAGCACCCAACTCCACGAGCCCTTTCTTATGGCAAGCATAAATAAGGGTATTGAAAACTTGATATGTAAGCTTACAACCTGACTCCATACTCATTTCCTTAATCATTCCCTCCGCCCCATCCCAATCGCCTCTTCTCCCCAAGACACGGAGTATCAAATTATAGGCAGTAACATTTTGCTTTAACTTCCCATTTTTCCTCATCCATCGGAAAAAACTCAACGCTTTCCCATCATCACCCCTTTCAAGCTCTTTCAATATTGCATTACACTGATCTAAACTCGAGTCAGACCCGATATTCTCATCATGAAAATCAACCCCATTTTGGCTATCTATCACATTCTCATCACTATTTACATCAAACACAATCCTGGGATTTTCTTCCGTTCCATATTTCCTATCTTTCAATCTAAAACTAGACCTATAATTCGAGTCTTTCGGTACCTTCTTCACCCTCCTAAATCTTCTCCAAACATTAAACTTCCCTTTCTTAGAATCCCTCCCAAGATTCGGTCTTTCAGTAACAAAACTCTCATTTCCTAACTCACCTTCAAAACCATCAACCCCTTCATTATCTATACTCAACTCAGAAGTCTCTAATTCCTCAGTTTCTAATCTTGAAACTCTAATGTGCTTCAAATTACAAAATGGGCTAACCACAAATGCACCACCACCCAAAAATGAGGGAACACAACACTTAGAATCAGTAAAGATCAAAGGTTTTACTGTGCAATTAAGTTTCTTGGATTCCCATGAACTATCTACATAAAGGGGTAATTTCAAAGAGGCCATCAAACAGAGTGGCCACAAGAAAAACTGGTAACTTCAGCATCAATTCATCAAGATTCCAAATTTATTAAAAACAAACTCGAAATTTAGCTAAAAGCGATTGGTCAAGATTCAAAATTTTACAAAAAGCAAAAGCAAAATTTAGCTAAAAGGGGTTGGAGGGGTAGTTATCAAGACTCAAAATTTACAAAAAAAACAAAGTTAAAATTTAGCTAAAAGGGGTTAGTGGGGAGTTATCAAGATTCAAAACTTCACATATAGAAAATCAAAATTTAGCTAAAAGGGGTTGCTTGGAACTTATCAAGATTCAAAATTTACAAAAAAACAATGTTAAAATTTAGCTAAATGGGGTTGCTTGGAACTTATCAAGATTCAAAATTTACAAAAAAACAATGTTAAAACTTACAGTTTTGAAGGCTTACCTTGAAGATTAGGCAAAAAAATGAGAAAAAGGGGGAAGCTTTTTAAGTCTTTGAGAGGATAATGGGAAGCTGAAATGGTGAAGCAGTGGAGTGGAGAATTTTGGGATATTGATTTTTGAGAGTTTGAGCTAGTGGTGGCTGTTAGAAAAAGACATGTTGACTAGTTGCAAGATTCTTTTACCCTCTTTTTTTTCTTTTTTGGGAGATCAAAATAAAATTTCGATTAAAATTAAATCGCGCAATACAAGATCGATTCAAGAGTAATACTCTCAAGAGGTTTTCTCCATACCTAAGATTCGAAAGGGAAGCAGTCACATTCCTCTTAACCTTTTGCAAAATTAGACACTTTGTTGGTGTCGCTCAATAATTACTTTTGCTAGTTAAATATACAATGAATATATATATTATTTTGCATAAAAATGTATGTTTTATGTATATTTGATACACAACAAAACTATATGTATTAGTGAGTATTATTTTAAGGGCAAATATCAGAAATCATATACTTTTAGGGCAAAATTACAATTTGTCTCTTATAAATTTATCATTACAGAAATTCCTCAAATTGATACAATAATATAACGGTGATACATTAATTTGATGTGCGAGATACATTAATCGTTAAGTAAAATACATTATATTTTATACATGATACATCAATCTGATGTACATTTTGTACATGATACACTAATTTGATGCGCGATTAATTATGCGAGATACATTAATCTGATGCATGAAAATGAGGGATTTTGAGAATTTATAAAACTAATAAGGGATGGTGATAATAAGAGAACTTAAATCTGAGATTTCTGTCATTTTTTCTTATTTTAATAGACGATTATTAATGTTTGTATATATATGATATACAACACACATGTGTATTAGTGACTATTATTTTGATGGACGATTAGTTATATGAATTTTTAAAACTAAAACCTTGAGCCCTACTACAAATGTATTAAAAAAGATAAACCTAAGTTTGGATTATTATTTTTTCTCAAATTTACGAATATGAATTTAAAATCACTATTAATGATATATATATATATATATATATATATATATATATTATTTTGCATAAAAATGTATGTTTTATGTATATCTAATATACAACAAACTATATGTATTAGTAACTATAATTTTAATGGACGATTATTCATCTTTTATTATAATTTATTATATGTTATACAATGATATACAACAAACATATGTATTAATGTCTATTGTTTTTATTATTTTGATTGACGATCTTTTATATGAATTTTTAAAACTAAAACCTTGAGCCCGATAAACCTAAGTTTGATTTAAAAGGATCACTTTTTTCGATTAATAAAAATAAATATGAAGGAAAAATGTGTATTTAATTATACATCGCAATCTTTTCTACATATAGGACACGTGTTATTTTCCGATAGCCACGTAAATAAGCAACTTCTATGAAATATATGTGAACAAGGAGTAATCACGATAATGGATTTTTCTTCAAAAATCTCAAAACAAACCGGACATATATCTCCCAATTCAAAATTTATGACATTCTCTTTTTTCAGTTTCGTAATTTTCAATCCGCTTTTCAGTTCAATAAATTCTTGTTTTTTCCCATCAAAAGCCTCGATCTTGTTATTAAATCCTTTTTTTTTGGTCAAAAAATCCAATAAAGTATCCAAAATATCTTGAACGTCGCGATCATCAAAAGTATACTCCACTTCAAGTATTTGCATATCAATTTTTCTCTTTTTTCTAACCCCATCAACTTGTAAACAAAATTCACCTTTGTTCTCCTCGTTATTGTCATCATCATTTATCAGCGTTTCGTACAAATCTGTTATTCGAAATTTACAAATATCATCACAACTTTTTGACGAGATTTCAAATCTTCCACTTTCCATGTCAACATCTATAGCCACAACAATTTTGCTAAACTCATCATCCACATTACTCCAAATGTTCAAATTTTTACCAAAGCTACTCGATAGATAATCATAAATCGCGTTAGCTAAATGTGGAGTCGTGTCTTTAAAGAATAAATTCGATAACCTTAAAGCAAAATCAATACTTTCAACAAATTCCTCCGGAGTTTCACAAATCTTCAAAAGTTGAACACTTTTCTTAAAAGTTGTCTTTTTGAATTGTCCTCCACGTTTCTCAGAGTCACAAGTTCGAGGTCTAACGATCCTAATTCGATTCGTTACCCTTAAAACTAAAAACCCGAATCTCGATGATGACCCTAATTGGTGATGATTATGAATAATAACACGATTTTTAATCATGTTTTGCATCCAATTAAATACTCTTATTTTAATTCCCTTTATACTTTCACTTTGATATGCCATTATTTGTTTTCTTGAAAATATTCTGTTGATATTTTTTTGAGTTAAAAAATGAAATATATATATATATATATATAGAGGTAAGACATATATTATTATAAGGAAACTTATTATAAATAACGTTTTAATTTTATTTGGAACAGGAGAGATTTAATACTATTCCAATTTTAATTAGGAATCCTTTTATAACGCCGTTTCATTTATTAATTCAATCTATTTTTAATCTGTTTAAATTCGGTACATATTTTTATGACCATATAAGGAAAAAAGTTTTATTAGGTATATAAAAAAATTATTTTAAAAAAAAATCCAAGTAAAAGTTGAACGATTTGAATTATAATGTTGAAAAGAATAAATCATTATATTTAATAGTTGAATGCTAATACACATTTTAATTCTTATAATTTATAATAGCTATTATTAAAATATATTACGTAATACGTACTATTTTTTATTACCAAAAAAAAAATACGTATTAGGAAAAGTTTCCTATTTTTGTATTTTAAAACAGTGCCATATTTTTAAAAAATGTCATAAACAAACTTTACCTTAAATAGAATTGGGATTCTTATTATTAACTAAAAAAAAAGGAAAAAATCACTTTTATACACATATATTTATTTTTCTTCCTTTTAAATTATCGTGTAAACTGATCGTGTAAACAAACTTATATCGTTCGTATCGGATGGTTGTTACATATTATTTCGAAATATTTTATATCATATAGTATTGCGTTGTTTTAGTAGATATTATGTTTGGATAGATTATACTGTTCTCTGTCGCTACATAATATCACACATACAATAATTTGATTGATAAACCTATCACAAAATTTGAGTAACAAACGAAACAAACATGTAATTTAAATTAACAATACAATACGACAAGTAACAACCATCCAAACAAGGTGTAGGTGTGATCGTGCCGTTATCTTATTTTTCTTCTTGTTTTGTTATTGCGAATTAGTCTTTTTCTACTCCAACCTTACTTTTCTTCTAGGTTTATATAAGTTTATATAAGAACTGTCGAAACAACCTCTTACATACATGGATTGCGTAAAATAAACTCATGAGGTCTGATCCTTCCTCGAACCATGTACGTAGTGGGAGCTTAGTACATCGAGCTCCCCTTTTAACGATCTTCCTTTCAAACAAGTAAAAAGAAAACCCTTCCCTAAGGCATCCACCACTTAAAACTTTTCAACATAGGGATGGCAGGAGAAGTAGAATTCATTCTCAAATCATATAAATGCAACATAACTTTAGTTTCATTTCATGCTTGCTTTAGATGATAAAATCTTACAACTCATAAGCATGGCGTCGAGTTTTTATAAAAAGATCACAAGCTAGAGATGAACAAGAATCAACTTGGAAAAAAGAAAACAGAACTAAGAGTCACTAATTAGTTCCAAACTAGGCATAGATGTTCCTGCTAAGAACGACTTGACGAGAGTGAGAGCTTGCTTTGGTCTATGCAGAGCAACTTCATGACCGGCGCCTCTTACTGTAACAAATGTCAGCCCTTTGTACTCCTGAGTCCATCCTCCAACCTGTTTTACGCATTAATCATAGTATGATAGTAGTTTGACAGGATCAGAATTGATGCGAAATCAAGAAAATAAGCAATTGCAGAATCCTACAGATTGAATTTGAGGTAGTTCTTGAAAAGATGACAAAAGTGAGCAATGAAAATACCTGTCCATCATCATACCAAGCGCGCCAAGGAGCAACAGTTGGCAATTTTAGAGCATTTATGCTGTAACGGGTTGATGTAACGGGGATCACAGCATCTGTGTCACCACTGCCATCAAATTAAACAAACAAACATTCCTCGCGATATCAGCATTTAGTCAACTCACGTTAGTGGTAAAAGTGCCTATAAAATACTGAGAAAACGTTTTAGGTTCACGCAATGATGTCTGCAAGCAGCCTTGAGTATATATCAAAGCTTTTAGATTCTATATTTCAATTGAAACCAAGTTTATCTTTCTAATCATACTTCAAAGTTTCCTCTCTCTTTCTCAAAATAGTAGGTTATTAAACAATCGGATGAACAATAATTGGCATTTGGAGGATGTAATATTGAAGTTTGTTAGACAGGTTTAACACTAACTTAAATGAATACTACCGGAATTGTGAATGTTGCGCACAATTCTGCTTGAAACAAAACGAATACTAGCATTCACTGACTTATTTTTTACATCCTAAAATCGCAATGCTTGCCAACTTATCAAGTAAATGTGAGAAGAGAAGGAAAAGCTTAGAATTAGGATTAAAGCATACCTGAAAACCCAAATACGAAGGCCTGACTTTATCAATTCACGATAGACGTCCAGCACTGTATTGGGAGAATCCTTCCAACCGCTGGATACTTCTTCACTGCAAATAGGAAAAATGAGTAAATACATAGCTCCTACCTAGTATATGACATGTACAATTGAAAGACAAAAGGGGCTAGCTCACTGATTCGATTAACCTACACAATAATGCTATTTCCATTTTGACTCTTATATAATAAAGACATTGCATGAGATCCCCTTCAACATCTGTAAACCCCTATGGACTATTAGCTTTTCCTTTCTTTTAGAAGGCAAGCATACCTCTAAAAGAAACAGCGAGGTTGCTGCTTTTTTCAGTGAGCAGGTGTTGGAAGAGAAATGAAAATACCTGCAAGTTACCCATTTGAATGATGAGTTTCTCATATGAACATGAAGAGCACTCTGAACTTCAGGAAGATTGAAGTAGATCTTCGAGTGCTGCTCTGTGCATGGATCATAGCTTCTTCTGAGATGGCCTACGCTCTATTAAAGGCATAAAATTTTATCAGTGATCAAAATAGTGATAAAGCTTCTTCAAAAGTTTAATCTCAATCATTTTGAAGCAGCATGTGAAGTTTAGAATCACATTTTCAATCAAATTTAACAGGTATATACTAAAAACGTTACATGTTAATAGCATCTCAATCATCCTAGAGGACAAAATGGAAATTAATAGAGAAAGTATGATTAAATCATTAACATTCCAAAAGAATCATGTATACCCACTATTCAGACAATGAACACGGAGTGAATAGGGTTTAGACTTCATAACTCAAGTTAATGTGGAAATAAAGTTCCAGTCACTTACGTTGCTCTTTCTGAGCAAGTGGTTTAGTATACTAAACTTAGCTGTGCATGCTGGAGTGAAGATGCTGTAGCTATCAATATTTCCGATTTCTTCATTAGCCTGTTCAAGAATCTTATCACACTGCTCTGAGGGTCTAAAATATGATTGGTCGTGGCACAAAGCATTCGCCTGCTTGTATGTTTGGTCAGAAATCATTCCGGCTGACCACATGAATTGAAATAGTCCTAAGTGATCATTATAGTCATCAGTCAAAGCATTTCCAACCTGCAACGTTCATTACCTAGTGTTAGTACTATACTACACAAATGCAAATGTTTTGTCTTTGATAATCTTATATGTATGCGTGCATTGGGTTGAGAAACAAGCGTGCATACCATGAAACCTTTTAAATTGATCACTTGCTTCTTCAAACCATGGTTGTGCCTCACAATAGCTTGACTTAGCTGAGGAACATAATGCCCTGTCCACAACCACGATAACCACAGTTGTTTCAGCAATTGAATGAGCTACCCAAGATAACAGCAATAAACCCAGAATAGTCCCACAAAAATCTGGGGAAGGTAAAGTGTACGTAGACCTTACCCCTACCTTGGCAGATAGAGAGGTCATCTCCAATAGACCCTCGACTCAAGCAAAGCAAAAATACAAAAATTATGAAGACATAAGCAATAACAACAGCAGTATAGTAAGAAAATATAGGCATATATAAGAGACAACAAGTAGTAACAGAAAAATAAGAATAAAACAGACAACAAGGAACAATAATACAATGCCTAGTATAACATTAGAGGTTGTATGGTGAACTGTCAACAGACAACTTGAACCAATTAACTTAAAGGAATGCTTATACAGAAAGAGGGAGAATATCAACTAGTATATCAAGTAAAATAACATGATACTATAGAAGTCCTCGTGCTTCCTTTTCCTTTTAAATTGTCAACTTCAATTTTCTCTGTTTGAGACAAACTAGAGGACATGAAGATGTACTGTCAATTAGAGCATCGAGCAAATGACATCAATTAGTGAGTTGTAAGGCAGTAAAGGATCTTTATGACTCCATCCATGTAATAAATATACACAAACAATCGAATTTCTGGAATGCTTATGGATTTCCTTTATAAGCATAAATAGACATGTAATTTCATCTTGATGACCAGCTACTTATCAACAATGCACCCAATAAATTTGGCCATCGTCAATTGACTAAGGCATCAAATCATATTGCACTGGATACAGCTAACCAGAAAATGTTCGAAACATAAATTTCACAAGTAGATTAGAAAAATAATATTACCAGCATAGCTTTCTCCTGAAATATAAAAATCTCTTCCTTTATATTCTGGAAATCGTTCAAGCCACTTCAGTAAAAATACAAGGGAGTCCGCGGCTGTAATGCAACAACAACAATTGAAGAAAATTTAATACATGTTTACAGATATATACGGACAATAACCTAAACAAAAGCACTCAAAATGTCATATTACTACCTGTCCGAGCGTCACCATTGTTGAGATGATCAGATGAAGTGTTTGAATAGGAATAACCAACTCCAACAGGCGAGTCGAGAAATAACACGTTTGCAGCTGCAGAAACAGATAATTGAGTCAGACTCCATTCTGATAAGTTCCTAAAACAATGCTTCAGAGAATTATGTACAATTGTATACATACTTCAGTAACAATGGAATTTCTGGTGAATTTCAATATTATAGGATGATTGACTTGATCCTGCCTGTAATCATGCAAATTTAGTTTTTTCTAATCTCTATAGTTTGAAGAAACACTGGCTTCGATCATGCAAATTGAGTGTTTGCTGATCTCTATAGTTTGAAGAAACACTGGCTTTCTATAACTAATTAAGTCGGGCAAGGTAAAATTTGGGGTCAAAGAGTTTG